TTCGATTATGAACAAACTACTTGACTTTGGTTAATATAAACTTACCTGTGTGTTTGCAATTACCTCCCGTTAAATAAAATCCATTGTACAACTAAATATCCCAGCGAATAAAACTTTAGCAAAAGGCATAAAAATGTGGAACAAGGAAAATACATTATTTTTATATATGGACAATTGGACATACATGTAGAGGGTACCAGTATTATTCTTTGACAGTAAAATATTTAAAAAGTTAGTGGTCAGTTTTAAGTAAGATGGTAATGAATTCCATAGGTTTGAGCCTTTAAAACGGATGCTGTTTTTTACAATATTAAGCTTTGGCCGCAGAGTGATTAGTTTGTTATTAATGTTGGTGAAGGGAGTTTCATAGAAAGACAAAAGATTGAGCAGATAAACAGGACATTGCTTAGATAAAATTTTGGAAATAAAGTTACATAAATTGTAGGCATGACGGTTTTCTATTGTTAAAAGTTTCAAGGTAGTTATTGTTGGGTACAGTTCAGCGGTATGATCGACATTAAGCAGTAGTTTAAAGGCCATGATTTGTCGTCTAGCTAGAAAGACATTCAAGAGATTTGGAGTCCCAGATTGGAGAACTGCAATCAAAATGTGTCTAAATATGAGCATTGTAAAAAAAAGAGTGCGGTAGGAGAGAGGGAGATATTGTTTAATCTTACGGAGAAGGAAAAGTTTCTGATTTAATTTTTTAGAGATATATTGAATGTGGTCTTTCCAAGTTAAATTATGATTTAAAACAACGCCTAAAAGTTGAAAGGATGAGACTACTTCTATTGATTTATTGTCGAGTTTTATATCAAGAGTAGTGGGGAGAAAATTTCTTTTTTGGTGGGTTCTAAAGAGCATTGCTTTAGTTTTTGTTATATTAAGTTTCATTCCGTTTTGGTTACACCATGCTTTTATTCTGTCGGCATCAAGCTGTAGTTTTGTTTGGAGAACTTCAACCGTTGGGCCAGAGGTGTAGACTGTCGTATCATCAGCAAAGAGGTCAGTTTTGGAAGAGAGATTTAATGGCAAGTCATTAATGAAAATATTGAACAAGAGGGGTCCTAATATCGATCCTTGAGGTACGCCATATGGGGGGGGGGGGGGTGTCCAATGTCTACAATTGGGGGAAAATGTGATTATGTTGACATAAATGGTGATGATGTTATATATAAATAAAACATAGATTTCTAGGACTGTCCATCTCTAAATAAGTGTATATGATGCCCTTGGACAACTGTTTTGATTTGTGGCAAGGTGGGGTGGGTGGTTGCAGGTGTGCTTGTGTGGAAGTGGGGGGGGGGAAATTGGCGGGAAATGAATTCACGTTGACTAATGAAAATATTGAACAAGAGGGGTCCTAATAACGATTCTTGAGGTACGCCATAGTGAGTGGGCTTCTTATGAGACCAAGTTTTCCTAGACTGTTTTTTTGCGTATATTCTGAATCTGGGTGGTGATCAGGGGTTTGCGGGGGCGTTTTCGAGATGGGGGGGGGGGGGGGTCCAATGTCTACAATTGGGGGAAAATGTGATTATGTTGACATAAATGGTGATGATGTTATATATAAATAAAACATAGATTTCTAGGACTGTCCATCTCTAAATAAGTGTATATGATGCCCTTGGACAACTGTTTTGATTTGTGGCGAGGTGGGGTGGGTGGTTGCTTGTGTGGGAATGGGGTGGGTAAATTGGCGGGAAATGAATTCACGTTGATTTAAATAATGATTTTCTTAGAACATTATGAAACATCTCTACAAATATGTGTTTAAGATTTCCAATGTGTGTGTGTGGGGGTGGGGGGTCGGGATGGGTGCTCATGGGGGGTGGGGGGCAACATGTATCTCTGTGGACAGAAATCATTTTGTTCAATATTAACCTTAATAGTGTTTTTTCGTTAGCTTTTCGTTCAGTAGCTATATTTGGTCATTCAAAATATTAAATTATGATGGTACTTTTCAAGAGATCTGGAAATGTAAATCAAAAACACAGTAAATCAGAGACATGTTTAGATTTTAGTTTATCCTTAGTCTTCATCAGAAGATTTAAAATCAAAAGTTCATAATATGAGTGAGATAAATATCTTCTTGGTTGCTTACCAAAAGCTCGCATATGTCCTTTGGATATGCTTTAGATACCAGTTCACATTGTAAATCTTCATTCCAGCCATGTTATTTTTTCACCCAGAAAATCTTTCTTCTAGCTTCATCTACTGATGTAAGTCGCCTTCCACGATATGTTCTACCTTTGCCAGTCTCATTATCGATCAAAATGTGTATTTTAGGAAAATTGTTTGCGAGGAGAACGATTGGGATGTCTATTTCGCCCCAGCAAGAACACAAAATATAATTTGTTTCAGTAGGTAAGCTAGTTTGGTGTTCTCGTGGTTTGTTGTCAGTTCTAGGATATTCTCGACACTTTCAATACTAATCTTGATATAAATGTCTAGGAATATCTAGGCCTGCATGCTTTCAGTGGTAATGACTATCTGTTTTTCTTTTACAAGATAATTCCAACTTTCTAACAATTTTTAAAAAGCTGTGACAGGCAAATGATGTTTCTGATGACGTAATTACTGGAATAGAAATAATTGTTTGTGCCATGTTCGGCGAATGGCGACTTACATCAGTAGATGACATTAGAAGAAAGATTTTCTGGAGAAATTTTAATGGTTTCTTTTATTACCATCTTGCCTGGGTATTCTTTTGCTGCACATTAAATGATCGAACAAGATCACCTTGCGATACAATACAAGGCTGGAATGAAGATTTACTATGCGAATGGGTATCTGAAGCATATCCACAGGATAAATGCGAGCTGTTGATCACCCATAAAGAAGATATTTATCCCACTCATATTATGAACTTTGATTTTGAATCTTCGGATGAAGAATATAAGAATAAACTAACATCTAAACATGTCTCTTGTTTACTGTTTTTTTTCCAGATCTCTTGAAAAGTACTGTTACAATCAATCGGATTAAAATACAGATCTATATTTCGTTTCGTTTTTCTATACTTTCGATGGCATACATTACATGAAGATATGACCGGTTGTAGTGGGGGTGGCGTCAGATGTCATACGATCGGTTTTTGACCCTATGACGTCAGACATTGATTTATCAACCAGCGTTGATAAGAACTCGCAGTAACAGACTGTTTCATTGGCTAATCCCTCACATTAACCAGAACGCGGCTTATATAACAACTCTTCCAGATCCTAGTGTTATGAGGACGAAATTTTGAACTATAAAAAACGGCACAAAATAGGATCTGTGTTTTAATCAGATTGCAATATATAATATTTTGAATGACGAAATTGGTACTGAACGAAAAAAAAGCTAACGAAAAGCCACTTTTCAGGTTAATTTTGAACCAAGTGGTTTCTGTTCCCAAAAATACATTTTACCCCCCACCCCCCATACAATGGGACTCTGATACATATATTTAGAGATGTGCAATGAAATTAAAAAGTAATGTTTTCATCAAGCTCTAAGAAAATCATCATTTAAATCAATGTGAACTCATTTCCCGTCAATTTTATCCCCCCACCCTTCCACACACGCACACCGGCAACCCCCATCCCCACAAATCAAAACAGTTGTCCAGGGGCATCATATACACTTATTTAGAGGTGGACAGTCCTAGAAATTTATGTATTATTAATATATAACATGATCATCATTTATGTCAACATAATGACATTTCCCCTCAATTGTAGACATTGGACCCCCTTATCTCGAAAACGCCCCCCCTCAAACGCCTGATCACTTTTTGCCCACACCCCCACTAAATGGGAATTTATACTCATACTTAGAATTGTGCAGTGGAATTTAAAAAAGTAATGATTTTATCAAGCTCTAAGAAAAACATCATTTAACTCGATGTGAACTCATTTCCCGCCAATTTTACCCCCCCCCTTACAAACAGGCAAACCTGCAAACACCTACCCCACCTCGCCACAAATCAAAACAGTTGAACAGGGCCATCATAAACACTTAGTTACAGATGGACAGTCCTAGTACCGGTAATGTATGTTTTATTAATATATAACATGATCATCATTTATGTGAACATAATCACATTTTCCCCCAATTGTAGACATTGGACCCCCTATATCTCGAAAACGCCCCCTCAAACGCCTGATCACCACCCAGATTTGGAATCTACGCAAAAATACAGCTCGGGTGGCGATTCCCCCCCTTCAGCCACCGGTCTAACACACTAACACAGGGTATAAATTTTTAGGCTCCAATTATGAATGAGGTGATGATGATGTGAAAAGCAATATTTACGTGTATTCGTGTAATCGGTGATATATTCATTGTGAATAAAAATTTAGTAGACTGACAATCAATTGTTTTCAAATTAATTTTATTGTCTTCAGTTGCCATTTTTGTTGCCCAAACTCAAACGATTGGAAAGGTCGCGCGTTGTTGTGATTGCAGCACATGTGGTTGTCAAAATTTGTCAACCATTTACACCTTCAACATATTAAGATGGTTTAGCTCATCATGTCACATGTACAATGTTATATGATGAACTTAGTCGAAAATACAAGCAAAAACATTGACTTTTCGTGAGAGAACTTTTTTTTCGTTTGGATATTCAATTGTGCAATGGATTTTATTCAACCGGAGGGGATTTCAAGCACATAGGCAAGTTTTTAGTAACAATTATTCAGTAGTTTGTTCACAATCGACGAAATCCGTTTATAATTACCGATATACATGTATATGGAGATATTTATTTATGCCGTGGGGCACCCTACCAGATACCCAAGCGATAAAACCTGGACTAGAGGCTACATGTCAGCTGGACGATAGAGGCTACAAATCAACACATCAAATCCAATGAAACAGACAATTTGATAACTGGCCCAAACCAAAGACTAAAGAGGTGCCGCGCAAACTTGCAACATATTATTTCATGCAAAGATAGTTTAACACGGTTTAAAACCCAAGAAAAAAAAGCAAAACACATTTTCTGCTCTTACCTCTGACTCTTATACTGTCAGTGACATCACGGCGGAATTGTCATGACTTCCCACAATGCAGAAAACCACTGGTATACATAAATTGACTGGCGCTACTGCACTTTCGCACCTCTATCACTGTTCGTAGAGAATTGATGTTAAAGCAGACGAATAATGCCGGCACGCCAAATTTCAGCCCATTTGGTAACTATCTCTTTATTTTACAGATCTTTTAGTTAGAGCGTACTAGATTTTCGCCATCTTGCTTATTTATTATTTAGACTCAATTACCAAGACACTTCTACGGCGATATCACTTCGGTGGACGTCGATGTTAAAGATACTTTCCGGGAAAGGTATTTATCGGGTGGTTATTTGCAATAAAAGTATGTCAAATTTGGTATATATGGAAAGTATAGACACCCAATCTTACTAGAAAAATACTGGATAACCCGAAAAACGCCCATGGGACAAGCCACACTGATCAGCAGCGAATATTCGCTAGGCCGCGACAATCGATGACATCGATGCGACTTAATGAGCCACAAATATTGACTTTATTCCTCCGCAAATTAAATTCTAAAACATTTTTTTTATGTATTAGAAAAATAAATAAAGACGTTTGAAGTATTAGTAGTTAAAAAATTATTTCCTATTTTAGTGTAAGTGGGTATTAAAATGAGTAAACCCTTATAGAAAAAGTACAGGTTTCTATAGAAGTTTGTGGGATTCTATAGAATGCTATAGAATGCTGCAGGAAAACAAATTCATTCTGTAGTTTTTTTCACATGACTATAGATTCAAAAACATGTACTATAGTTTTGTGTAGGGTTGATAGATGAATATTTTCCAAGTGTAATTTCCTACAGAATTCTATAGAATACTGTAAGAAACTATTGGAAAAAAAATAAACCTACAGATTCATTGGTGCTGCTATAGTTTTCTATAGAACTAACCTGTATCCTCGAGTCATTTGAGTAATACTTCAGTTCTCTACAGCGTTTGTGGTAAAAACTATAGTTTGCTATAAAACTAACTTGTATTCTCCTGTCAGCTGGCGTTCTTATAGATTTGGTGGTAAAAACTATAGTTTTCTATAGAACTAAATTATTGTCTCAAGTCAGTTGTGTGATCCTATAGTTTTCTATGACATTCTGACATTTTTTTCTATAGATTTTGTGGAGAAAAATATAATGCATGAGCCTTCTATAGTTTTCTGTAGAATTTATATGTATACTGTACTTAAACCATTTTAACAAATAGCCTACTATAGTTTCCTACATAATAATGTAGAAACAATGTTCTATACTACAAATTTCATAAATTGGTGATGTCTTTTATTCATACTGTAGTTTACAACAGAATTTAGTGAGGCACTTGTGTGAATTATGTAAACTTTTCCAACATAATTTTCCTGGATACGGTTTTCCTTAATTTATTGTGATACCAAATGACAAACTAAAATAAGCTTACCACGAAAAATAAAATATTAAGTATAAAATAGTGTATATAATATGAATGAAATAGTGATACATGTTGACACTCAAAGGAATTCCCCACCCACCCTCCAAAAAATATGGCGGGATTTAAGGGCCAAAACTAAATGTATGTTGAAAGTGTTATTATACATCATAGAAAATACCTAATACCTAAGATGTAAAATACATATGTCGTTATACTTATAATGATGAATACATAATACTGTTAAAGTAAAAGTCAAATGTCAAATTACAAATGTTTTTTTTGGAAAAAATCCACTAATGTGCACAACCTTTTCACATACACACTTCAACAAAGCAACTTTGCAAAATGACATTTGTCTTTTGTTTTTTGCATCTTGAGTTCTTGAGGTAAACGGTCAACGGTCAAAGGTCATCGGGTTACATGTAAAATTGTTAAAATGAATGCTCCCAAGCAGGAAAGAACGGGTAAAGGCTGGACCTTCTTTTAGTATCTGCAGACTTGTCAGTCATGATGTTGATATTAGATAGGCTCACTATACAGTGCAAGTCTGTGTAATCTAAACAAGGTGCCACCCATTATTAAAATTACCGTTAATCATTCTTACAAACGAAGTTTCTGGGACATTATATACCCATATATATTTCAATTCGGTTTTAATTGTAGACTAGCCAATGTTAATGCACGTAGCCTATATAGTCATATTAATTATAAACTTCACACAAAATAGGCCTACATCTAGATTGAACATATTTAGAATAAATTTAATTTAATGTAAATGTATTTTTTGATAAATACCGAATGTGACTTGGGCTAACACAATTTTAAATTAAATCAGAGTCACGCGTGCTGACTGTCAGAATGTATAATTGTATAGGCATATTCATGCGGCATCTTATTTTTTTAGAACGGGGCCCAGGCAAGGGCAACTGTTTAGTCGTTTGGATGGTACGAAAACCCGAGGACCCGTGTATACATTGGCGTGTACGTAAAAGATCCCCCGGTAGTTGGAATTCGATATAAGAGTAGGCCACAGTGCCGCAGTCGGGGCAAAATTTCCCCCCATAGCACACTGTATGCCGTATGCCGGTCTTCATTAGGAGCAGAAAATTAGGACGTTAAATCCCATTTCATTTCACTTATTTTTTTTGCTGTCATATTTTTTGTTTAAATACCATTGTCATGGGCCTGTGTAAAGTCAGTAAATTACAGTTTTTGCTGGGGGAGTTATGGTACGGTACTGGTGTTTCATATTTCGGATAACTTTCGTAAACTGCACTTGAGTAAATAAATAAATGAAATTAAATATTAAATCAGAATCAGATCTGTTCTCATTGTAGTAGGCATAGGCAAGTATATGGGGTGGGATATGAAACGTTTTCCATCTCTTGTTATATTAAATTTTTGATTGCTGGCAGACCAGTAAAAACTTTAAAACATTGTTGAATGAACCATTTTAAAATTATTCATCGAAAGTACTTTCTTTATTAAAGAACATTTCATTAAATGGACTAATCGTTTTTTTTTCATGAAATGAGCTCCTTAATAAAAATTTACAACAAAGAACAGATACAAAATCAAAGTAAAATTTAAATTTTATTTCAAAAAGTTGTCGTACATAATAAGCATTTAATATATATTTAATCTTTCCAAATATAATATACAGTTTCCGTACATTTAAATTGACGCAAGATTCCATTAATTGATAATAACAAGTAAAGCTGTAAAGTCAAAATCCATACAACATAGTGTCAGAATGTCACTATAAGCTGCTTTTAGCAGACGACGACGACGACAAGCTTATCTTTCCTTCGTGGGAGCATTCATTTTAACAATTGTACATGTAACCCGATGACCTTTGACCGTTGACCATTTACCTCAAGAACTCAAGATGCAAAAGACAAAAGACAAATGTCATTTTGCAAAGTTGCTTTGTTGAAGTGAATATGTGAAAAGGTTGTGCACATTAGTGGATTTTTTCCAAAAAGCATTTGTAATTTGACATTTGACTTTTACTTTAACAGTATTATGTATTCATCATTATAAGTATAACGACATATGTATTTTACATCTTAGGTATTAGGTATTTTCTATGATGTATAATAACACTTTCAACATACATTTAGTTTTGGCCCTTAAATCCCGCCATAAAAAAATGCCAGTAAATGTAGATCTTCACAACAAAAATATCAGATAATAAATTATTCTTCAGATAAGTCAATGAAATAAAGACAAAGTTTATTTAGAACACAGCAGTCTGACTGTTATTTGATCCTGCTAGTTAGATCTTAATGACTATATAGCAGATTCTGTACTCAAATTATATAATTTGTTCCAAGTCACCAGGTCAGCCGTTTATACCTGTCAACAAATTATAATTAACAGCCAATGTACTCTCTTGAAATCTGTTTGGCCATTGGCTGAATTTTAAATTCAAAAATTCAGTGTATAACAACTTAATATGTTAGTATTAACAAGAAACTGAAGAGAATGGTGCTATTTTTTTCACAGATTCGATTAAAGATAGAAAGATAAGTATACTTTATTACTTTCTTAACAATAATATTAAATTACTTTAATTAGATAAGATTTATGTGATTTTGTTATTTACTTAACTTTATTACCTATTCTTTTCCTTATATTTCGGTTATACCAAGAAAAAAAACTTTTCATGGTTCTGGCTGGTGAATCATCAACAAAATTCAGATTTATCCATGAGAGAAAAAATAAGCTTATCAATTTAGAAGAATCCATGAGAGAAAAATAAGCTTATCAATTTAGAAGAAATCATGGGCCAACTATAGTTTTATTCCCAAAATAAGATTTAATAAAAAAAAGTTTATAGAATTCTATAGTACCCATTCCTACAGAAAACTATAGTGGCCCAATTTTCAAACTACAGACTATTACAGTATTCATTTCTATACATAACTGTAGAATTTCCTACAGAAAGTGCAATAAAAAAAAAACCTATAGAATACTATAATATTTTCCTATAGAAATTTTGGAAAAACTATAGGATGTGCGCTACAGAAATTATAGAATATTTGGGGCCGTTATTTCCCACAAGCCCCCAAAATTCTGTAGAATACTATAGAATTTTATCCTATAGAAAATGGGACACGCCCCCCCCCCCCCCCAAAAAAAACTCTATAGTTTTTATACAATACTACACTGGTATTCTGTAGGACTTTTTGCTAAGGGAAAGGCGCCATGCTGCTCGAATCAGTGACGTCTTCATTAAAGTTCAACGTAACAATTTGTAGGGAGTAGATATAGGTATTATCTAAAAAATTGGACAGGTGAAATCTTAAACAATAGGTCTAATATAAACTTTGCAAGTGGCTAACCGCACGTGGAGAAAAGCGTGCTCGGCGCGCACGTGGGGTTTTGTGTCGAGATGTTTTCCGAAGTAGAAAGAAGAAATATAAATAAAGAGAGGGCTAATAGGATTAAAGATTGTATACGTGTACCATTAGGTGATATAAAACGCATTTCGGCAACCGAATTAATAGAAAAGATAGAGAAAATTTGTGGAGATGACTCAGTTCTGGCGTGTGTTCCCAGGGGTGACCGATATGAAGTAACATTATGTAGTGAAAATGAAATTAAAGAATTAACGTCAACTGGAAAAGTGATAAACCAGGAGAAAATTAGCTGTTGTCCCATCGCAAACAAAATCAAAGTTGTGAGTATAATGAACTTACCTTATTACATACAAGATAGTGTGATAGAAGAAAAGCTGTTAAAATGGAATGTAGAATTAGATGGCCCTATAAAAGAGCGCGCTATGATAAGCAAACTGGCTTGCCC